TGGTTGAGGGATAATAGGATTAATAGAGAGGAATCGATTTGATCGACGTTAAATTTGTAAGTCCGATTAGAAATTAGGCGGGATTTTTAAGCGAGAAAAAAGAAAGAGAGGGAGAGAGACCTGTAATTAGGGAAGTAGGCTTAATTTGTACGATAAATAGAAGTACACTGTATATTCGACGATAAGAGACAGGTAACAAGGTGCGGAGGTAGACATGAAAACACCAAACTTACAGAATAGCTTATCACCACTCAGGGAAAATCAGTTTACTACGCAAAATTCCTTAGAGTTTTCCTTGTGGGCGTCGATTGTGCTGCGGGGGCGGTACGATGTGCAAACACAGTTGTCAAATTATCGCGCATTCTCGAAGCGGCTTGTTCGCCATCACGCGCGCGCAATTCCAGTCGATTTTAATAAGTAGCTATCGAGATAGCTATGAGCGCGCGGAAAGTCGAAACATTACCATTCCCTTGAATGTTTAATTGAAGAGAATCAAATTGGAAAATATGTCGTTTCTTCCGTCGCGCGCGGTCGGAGAGCGTCACGCTACGCCGGTCAATTTTCGAGAAGGTGCGATAAAAAAGGTATCGGACTCCGAGCTGCGTATTGATCGTACTGATTTGGTGGGTTTCATGATTGACGACCTTGTCGAAAGTTCGCTAGGATTTCTAAAACAGAGAGAAAAGAAAAAAATACAAAAAAAGAAGAGAAAGAGAGGGGGGGGAACAACGGGAAGTACAGAGTGACACGTGATCTTGAGACACTACACCGCGTTTATACTTGAAGAGTATTTTATGCATTATCAGTATAGTCGACTGTATTGTTAGGGTACTATATTACGGTACGCGCGCGAAGGCGATTACAGGAAATCACCTGGCGGGGAAAGAGACACAGTTGTACGATATCCTAGCAGAAGAAAGAGAGAAGGAGGAAGGTAAAAGAAGTGTCGAAGTTACAGAGCAGTACGATATTTTTTCACAGCTGATCGTGCCAAATTTTTTCAATCGAATTCATTGGACCTCTCGATATCCCTTAGGCGACTCGTCGAGGTATGTGTAGAAAATTAGAGAGAAAGAGAGAGAGAGAGAGAGAACGCGCAACTTGGCGAGACGAAAATCACACTTGCACGTCTAATAACTCTAGCCATTCACACAGATAGGAGTTACGTCGCGCGTTCGCATGTGTATGATGATGATGATGATGATGATGACAACAATGATGCGTGTATGTTTAGTGTGTGTGTGTGTGTGTGAATGTGTGTGTGCACGAGTCGGTGAGGCTTTTCTCCCCCCTTCGAGTAATAATCGTCGATCATTTTCCTTGGTGAGTTACTTATCGTCGCGTCGCGTCATACGATTCTCCACCACGATTGTTCGGCAAGAAGACAAAAAATCGATCGTTTCCGCGTTTCTGTGTTCATCAGTCCCGTATCGGAGAGGTACAAAGAATAAAAAGCACTTGTGTTCCTAATCATCCGAGAATCGAATCGAGCTCTCGAGCGTTCTTAAGGTAATCCCTACTTTTGTCCAAAGCCCTCCCCCGAGGCGCTCGGGCGGGGGGGAAGAATATCGGGTGTATACAGAATTCAGAATAGCGACTGTCATCGATGTAGTGATCGAGCGTAGACTTTACTTTCGTAGATAAGAACTTGTCTTAAGAGCGATGCGTTTAATCTTATGTATAATGGACGTTTACCAAATAAATTGTCACTTTCCTACGAGTATATTTTTCGTCGTACGTGTGTGTGTGTGTGTGTATGTGTGTGTGTGCGCGTGCCTGCGCGTGTGCGCAATATTCCGAAAGGAAGAGCAAAATCGCCAATACCTCGAATTAAAGCAATTAAAAAAAAGATTCGCATTTAACGCGTCACATTTCAAACGTTTTATACTTTTCTACGTGAAGGACTCAAACAAAGACGAAAAAGACGCGTTTCTCGCGTAAAAGTCTAACTTAAAAAGCTGCCTTTTCGATTAGCGATTTACGCTTTTTTCCTCAAGAGAAAAGGAAGAGAGCTTCTCTTGCTCGAAAGAATAATTCAATTCAGGGTTACAAACGGCACTTCCAGCGAAGACATTCTCTCAGTCGCCCGTTTCATGAATCTCATCATTCCCGCGCATCGGGAGTACTATCTCGGGAGGGAGAGAGGGGGAGCAATTCCTTCAACGGGATGTGCAAACACCGCGCGATTATGTAATGTAATTACGCAAACGAAATTAAACCGAGCGCACCGCGACGCGGTCCCGTTTGATCGTAACAATCTTGCGTACCGCACGCTGTTGTTTCATCTTAATACGTCGAGAGCATTGTTAATTCTTACTGTTATCATCCCCGTTACGCACTTCTCGCCTCTCCGAAAATGACCGGCTGGAAGAGTCAAGAAGGTTACTCAGCGCCATATCGCGAGGTCGTTCGTTCCCTCCCTCGGTTTAAAGCATTATTTTTCCGCTGAGGGAAACGCGCGAGGCTTTTCCTCGACTTCCTCGTGCACACGAGCGAAGCAATCCGAAGACCGTGCAGACAATTCTGCAGCGTTCTCTCTCCCTCCTCTCTCTCTCTCTCTCTCTCTCTCTCTCTCTCCCTCTCGCTCGCTCACTCCATCGCCCTGTCTCTCCCCCCCCCCTTTCCCTCACGCTCTCTATGCGGCCAACGATCGTGGGAAGTCTCACCTGCGACCTCGTCTCCGGCGAATCAATATTATACGAAAGCATGCGAGCAGTCCGCGGATGTGCCGCGGATAAAGCCGAAGACGAGTTTCTTGTCGCGGCGGGGAGCGACGAGAGGAAGTCGCAACTGCGCTCTCGTTACCTCTCCGACGGACGAAGCCGCGGCTGAAGTTCCGTCGCACGAGGAGTCGCGTTAATTAGCTGACGAATTGCCGCATCGGGCCGGATGTACGAGAAACTCCAAAGACGGTTTCTCCCGGCGACGCGAGCGAAGCTGCGGAAACTTCGACTGCTCCTCCGCGCGCGTCCGCGTGCGTTTCCGATCACGTTTCCATCGCGGCAAGTTTTAACAATGATTCCGCGCAGACGCACGCACGCACGCACGCACGCACACACATCCTCCCCTCCTCCGGGAGATCATCCTTGACAGAGGATCTATTGTTACGGCATTAGGCTCGTCGCGGCGCGCTGTCCGATGTAAAATATGAACTAATAGGATTTCATCGTGGATGTTGCACTGCGCGAGGTTTCACGCCGGATTAAACCGCAGATTTGAGATTCTTATCGAGCCGAAGCTGGATTTGCAGCGATTTTATCAGCCCGAGCGGGAGCGTTTTTGTCCTTTTGTCGTCGCCGAACGCCGGCGACGAACCCGGATATCGCGACCGGCTCGGACTCTCGCTTCCGGTTCCGGTTAGAGAGCCTCATAGGAAGAGAGTGGCAAACTGATCACGTGACCAGGTCTCTGTTGATTCGATGGAGGCACAAAGCCTTCTTGACCAATTAGAATATCGATATAGCAAGACGACAGGTTAGTTTTACAGTGAGTTTCTAATATGGTCTGTTCTTTGTAGCTGCACTGTTTAACTGGTGCAATAAGTTAAAGTGAGACAAATATAGGTTTTCTCACTCTAGCTTATTGCACCAGTTCAGCAGTGCAGCTACAAAGAACAGACCATAAAGCGGTCTGACGTACATCTGTCAATCATTAGAGGAGGTTACGACGAGTCGCACAAGATATTCGCCTACGAATTAATAACAGCAATAAGAATCAGATATTCATAAGTAATAAGTATTAATTGTGAAAGAATATTTGTCGCTTCGATTTACATAGAATAAGAATCGATAATATATATTATTTACATAATTTTGTGTCTTGCGCATAGTATAAAATGCCTAGAATGCTTTTAAAACTCACTTTAAAACCAACCTGTCGTCTTGCTATATCGATATTCTGATTGGTCAAGAAGACTTTGTGCCTCCATCGGATCAGCAGAGACCTGGTCACGCGATCAGATTGCCACTCTCTTCTTATGAGGCTCTCTAGTTCCGGTTGCCCAGAGATGACGAGCGAAGGACGAAGAAACGATCGTGAAAAAAATCCCGTCGAAGGACCGGGAGTGCGTTACACGTCGCGGAGGAGGAGACGGGGGGACGGGCTTTTTGATCGGGCTTAAGTCCAGGGTGCGGGGAGATAATTGGAATATAATAAAGCTCGGGCCGAAGGCGATGCAAGCGCGAAAGCGAGCGCGAGAGTGCTCGAGGGGAGCGATTCGTACGGGCTTGAACGACCACTCGGTGGAGATGCAGCTGCCTAGGTATTCGCGTGCCCCAGTTTCACCCCCCGAGGGCGAGGCGAACCGCAGCGCGGGGTGGACGGATGCTCTCTTTGACTCGGCTCCGCATCCGAGAGAGGCGTCTCTCCCTCTCTTTCTCTCTCTCTCTCTCTCTCTCTCTCTCTCTCTCTCTCTCTCTCTCTCTCTCTCTCTCTGTCTCTGCGTCATCACGCGTCCGTGCGACGCGAAAAGACGTGCGAGCTCGGTGTCTAGTCTAAACTGCGGGTGCGGGGGTGCGAAAATGGCGCCGACCGGAGGAATTTTGTCGCGAGTAACGCACCTTCGCGCCGAATGTCTCATTGGAAAATCACTGAAAGTTCTCTCGGGTACGGCGGCAATCGTCTTTCTCGCGAACGGATACGGCGTAACATGATGAATATCGTCGAGAGAGCAAGGGGGTGAGTAGGGGGTTGCGGGACCGGTATTATGTCTCCATCCGCGCTGTTACACCGCCGCGTTGCGCTCGTCGTGACGCGCAGACACGTCGGGTACCATTATTGCGACACGAGAATCGAGAATTAATGCTTTATTTGTGTGTCACTCTCCAGCTGCGAGGATCAACACAAGTGCACCCCTCGCGACAAGAGGGTACACTTAATGCGACCCCGGCGGGGCAGGCGCGGCTATTCGGGCTCTATGGTTTGCTAATTTTCACGGGGTCGGCGTAGCGTGACGTTGGAGAGAGAGCAGATTAGGCTGAATGCCGAGCGCCGAGCTTTCGCGCCTCTCTCCAATGACCGCTTCCTCGCGCGAGCGATTGTTGCCGATGTTTCGCGCTCCTCCTGGATAAATTACACGTTCATCCCAACTCTTTTCACAGGGAGACGTTCTCTTCACACTCGGGCGAAAATTACGGTGATCGTTGGCAAAGGCGGTGGAGTCGCCTCTGACTGCGACGAATAATGATCATCATTGAGAGGAGCGGATCATCATTGGCAGGACCTCTTCATACGCTTCACATTATCTCATAATCATGCGATTCGAGGATAAATTCTGCATCATATCGTCCGCGACTGACGCGTAGTACGTTCGTTATAAAGGGGCAGATAACGCTTATTATTTATTTGACGCAGGCGGGATTTGCGGAAATGCGAGGCTCGCGTGCGAGGGGTTGATCGTTAGAAAAGAGAAAAGGAATCATCTGCTCCGGTCATGATAAGGACAGGTGTATCGACACACCTGCGTCAACCTAGATAAGCTTTCTCGGCCACTCGAGCAGCTCGAGTCATCCACGTGAGCTCTTTCCGCGAACGCGTCTGATAAGGGCCATCCTTATCGCCGGTATTATCCACCCATTGTCGGGACGCGTCTTATCGCGCGCGCTACGAAAGTCGCCGATCGATCCGGATAGGTCGCGAGCGTGCTCCCCGCTGCCACGAAATCGTCCCTAATTGTCCACAAATCGACTGCCACCCTCGATTTCCCGAACCGTTAAATACAGCCACCCCGGCAGCGAGACAGCCGCTTGCGGGGGGGCTCTGGCGTTCCGCTAGCCCCCTTTCGAGAGGGTTCGGGTTCACCAAGCGCACCCCCGTGGAATATGGATTCAATTACACCTCATTGTGCCGCGGTGTCTATAAACAACGCTGTTTTCACAGCTGATAGTGGCCCACCGTGCTGCGGGTCGTGCACTCCGAATACCGTATTTTCCGTTCGACCGGCCGGCAAGTCTCCCCGAATTTCGAGCCGAGCTCTCCTCGTCTTCGCCTCTCTCGGCTCGAGCGTCGTCTTGGACGATCCGCTCTCTGAATCTCTCCGAGTGGAGAAACTTCCCGTTCGAGGCGAGCGCGAAAAGCGGCGGTATTTTCCCTCAACACCGCGAGGAAAATACCGTCGCGCGAACAAACATTTCACTCAAGCACTCAGAGCGGATTCTGACTTCATGTGGGCGAAGGTTCCCATCGATCGGAGCGGAATGCATCGTTGAGACGGTGAAGCGAAAACATTCACTCGGGATGAAGAATTCACCGAGCGAAAAGTTATTTCACCGATTAATCGACCGCTCTGCTCTTCGAGTGAAACTCCGCCCGAAGAAACCCACAATTCGCGAAACAAACTCCTCGGTTTGTAACAAACCGGCGAATCCCCATTCCGAATTATGATATCGCCCAAAGCGAGCTTTAAAAAAGGTGGGTAGGAGGGGGGAGGGTTCACAGAATGAGGATTCAGGCTTTCCACAGCGGCAACGCGCGCGCGCGCGCGCGAGGAATTGGAGTCCCTTATCTTCCGCGTTGCTGGCGGACTTGAAAAGTTGCTAATGACGATAATAACGCGCGAAACGACGGAAAGCGCACCCGGGTGTATTTCAGCGGCGTCGGTCACGCCGGACAACAAGGAGGGAACGGAGGATATGCCTCGTGAGAAGACTCGCAGCCGTCGACGCCATTATCCCTGAGTCGCAGGGCGCCGCGACGCCGCAATATCGACGTACCGCCCATCGCGTCTCCCTCCGTTTCCTGCTCTCTTTCTCTCCTTGCCCTCTCTCTCTTTCTCTCTCTCTCTTTCTCTCTCTCACTCTCTCTCTCTCTCACTCTCTCTCTCTCTCTCTCTCTCTCTCTCTCTCTCTCTCTCTCTCTCTCTCTCTCTTTCCTCACTCCCTCTCGTTTCCCACACCCACCCTTGCGCGAACGCAAGAAGCGCCTTTTAGAGTGTTTCTGTTATCAACCCTTGGGCGAATTCGGCCATCTTGCCGTTGGGTCGCTCAGGACGCGCGGTTGATATTCGATGACCTGAAAGCCGCGTGAATAATTTCGCAGCGCTTGATGACAGGCGGTGTCTCCTTAATGACGCTCGGCTCGTTTGCGCGACTTTTCACCGATCGGATGTGCGTGAACGAATGACGAAACTTGTGCTGTCGCGATCGCGGGAAAGTTCCCGATAGAGTGTTTACATTTACAAAATCGGGCGTACGAACGAAGGATCTACGAGGTGCGGATGACAGAGAAAGCTCTCTCCACTCGGCTTCGTCAGAACTACTTTTATTTGGCTTTGTTATTCACAGTGGCGATAACGATGGTCGCTGCGCGCATCACTCCTTACGTCGCGATAGTTACGTATAAATGGTGTGATCATCATCCCTTGTCAATTCGTCCGTTTCGATGATTCCTATTTACAAGCGCGCTCCGTGCGGAACGTTTCGTAAAAATGGCCCGCGAATATGCGAACGCGCGTTCGTTCGTCGCTCAACAAGTCGCCTTCTCGTCGATAGGATCGCGAGAGGACGAGTGAATATTGATGGGTCGTTCGTCGCGCGACGAGCCCGGAGATGCTTCGATGATGGAGAGGTACAAAGAGATACATTGCTTGACGAGGTCGAATGACTAGAAACGCTTTTCCTTAGACACTAAATAACACGCGGATTGGGAAACGTCCCCGACGCTGCTCTCTCGCCTGTCGCGAGAGCGGAAAACCCGCCGCCGCGGTGCCGTCTACTCGAACGTCGTGCCGTTTTTCGACGTTCGCGGATCCTCCGGCGTCCAGACCTTCGCGTACATCATCCCGTTCGGCGAGATGTCCGACTTCCTCGACCACGAGAGCGAGTGTGAGATGAAGGGGTTCCCGCCGCTGCCTGAAAGTCGCAATTCCAGAGAGATTAGCCGGGAAGTCGCGGTCGTACGACTCGAGACACTCGAAAACGGCAAGTGCCGGTCAGCGGGGGAAACTTTGCGACACCTTGATTTTCTCCCGCCGCCATTTTTCGGGGATTATTATCTCGACGTAAATATTGTGCGACACGTCCGGTACGTTTTTTTTTTGTTTTGAACTCCCCGCCTCTCTCTCGCGCGAAGACTTCACCCCGAAGCAGCCCGTTCGTCCGCCGGAGACACCTGTCTCGGGTAAAGGGTAGATGGGTAATTATGATAAATCGATCTATGATTCCACACGTGAGCGGAAGTAGTTGGCCCGACGTTAATATGTTATGCACATAATATCGAAGTAGCGTGTAACGCGGCGCCGAGGCGTATGCGCGCACGAGACTGAATCTCACGCGGATTACGATTGAAATCGAGTCCGGGGCGGAATTTCGGCGAGGCTCGATTCCGTACGAATGCTTCGGCGTGAAACATCATCAACTTTGCGGGAGACACTTTGCCGCGGCCACTTTGACGCATCGTGCAAAACATGTACAGGCATGGTTCTCGATATATCTTTCCATCCACACTTCGAATCATAAATATATGCAACACACTAACGATCGAACAATCTGAAAAATCGTCGCGCATGGACGACCGCGTCTTTCTCTTCTCTCCTGAGGATCTCCTCTGAAAATTGTCGTCAATCGGCGGAGGCAATCGTACTCCGCGGAGCGGAAATCGAGAACTACCGGTAGGACTGTAATTAAAATTGGCCTCACCACGGACTATGACCTTCTTAGAGTCGTCCCGGCTGGAACACCTCGAGAGGCCGCTGTTCCCCGTCAGCGGGTCGTTACCCTTGTCGGCCCTGACGAGCTCGTTGAGGAAGTTGATGTAACCGATCGCCAGCTTCAGCGTGTCGACCTTGGACAGCCTCTTCTCGTACGGCAAAGTCGGTATGTGGGCCCTCAGGCCCTCGAAGGCGTCGTTTATGTTCTGCATACGTCGGCGCTCCCGCATGTTCGCCGCCTGCCGCTGCTGCACCTGCACCTGTCGCGGGCATTTTCCCGACGCGCCGCTACGCCGGTTACTTCGACTTCGTCTACGAGCAGAGAGCCGATAGAGTCCTTACGTGTCCCGTTTAGCGGGTCGGAAGGAGAGAATGCGCTTTGCGCGATTGTGATGCGTATTTTCGGCGCGCCAAGTTATTGCGCTCGAAGAAAGAGACACACTGCATTTAGACGAAGGCTCATATTCTGAACTTTCTTTTATCGCTAAAAGTGACTCTAAAAGTGGCTTATAAGCCTCCTGCTGTAAGCCATTTTTAGAATCACTTTTAGCGGTAAAAGAGAGTTCGGAATATGAGCTCATATATATACCATATATATATATATATATATATATATATATATAAAGCCTCCTGATCGGCTATTTTTATTAAGCTATTTTTATAGTCACTTTTAATGATGAAAGAGATAATTCAGAATATGGGCTTAAATCTTCAAATCTTCAAAAAACGTGCGATTATTAACGATTAAAAAGCAAATGCGCATTCTATCATCTTCTCCGAAATCGTTTCTCGTTGCGCGCGTTTCTCTCGACTGCATTGTTCATTTCATTCTTTCCCTTCTTCCTTTTTCTTCTTACATCCAATGCACCCTCCGCTGAGGTACTTTCTTTCTCTTTGGCATGCCACGTAAAAATTACATTGAATTACAAGGTTACATCATACATACGCACTTATTTAATTTACAATTAAATATTTCTCGATCTTTCTGTGACACGCCAAAGAGAGGACCTTCTCCCGCGGATGAGAAGAGCGCGAGACGAAAAACCGCAGGTGGGCACAGGTCACGGTGGTCTGACTCACTCTCTCGCATGGTTCTCCTGATCGCTGCTGTAGACGCTCTCGTTGTCGCTGCTATTCTCATCGTATAAGTAGTGCTCACTGCCGCTGGTGCTGCCGGTGCTACCGGACGGGATCGCCGGCAAGGTCGCCGTGGTGGGCACGCCGCAGTGCGGCGGCAATGCCGGGATCGCCGGGTTCCCCAGGAAGCTGTGCGCCTCGTACATGTACTGCCGGTTCATCATGTCCCGCTCGAGATTGTCCATGGAATACATAGCGACCCGAGTCAATCGCTCCTCGACTCAGCTCGTTCGCGACAGGCCTCGCGCGCGTCTCTCACGGCTGCCCGCGGTCGATCGCGCGACGAACGCGGAACTCGAATTTCTTACCGACGAGAAGAGGTCTTCTCAAATCCGCCAAGGCTCTCCTTCTCGGAGTTCCTCCAGTTTAACTGACGCCTGTTAAGTGCGCCGCGCGTATCTTCATTCTTCTTCGCGCTGATGAGGCGTTCTGCGAGATACGTGCTAATCAACTCTCTCCCGAGATGAATGGGAATATTCACGAAAATATGACTAGAATATCCGACTAGACGTTACAGAAGGAGGGGAAGAACGGCACGCACCACGACACCACGGCACTTCCCGTTGCTTCTTCGTTCTTCGCGTCAGCAGGGGTAATAATTATCGCGTCTCCACGAGTAAACTCGGAGTCCCTCCCGGCGACGTTGACATCGCCGCTCACACGCTTCGTCGGCGCCCGCCGAAATTCCACCTACGCGCACTCGATCACGTTTCAGGGATCGAGAGATACGATCGGCACGTGGCGGGCTGCGATCGACGCGTGCACGCTAATGTTTCTAAACAGCGGCACGTGCCTTGACCGAGCTCTTCGGGACACGTGTCGAGATTCGCCGAGACACTTGTTAACCAGCGCGCCGCCTCACGTCTCGGGATGCCTCGGCTCGCATCCAACGGTGCCGCTTGCGACGTCGAGATGAGCAGGTTCGAGTATCGCCGGGACGACCGCAGGCTGCATCTTCTCGCTGGACTTTCACACGAGAATGTCCGTTCTCTGTCGCACCCTTTTGTCGTGCTTCGCCTTGGACATTGAAACGTCCCAAGACCAGTCCATCAGTGCAACACTCTTCAGCATCACATTCTACCGATCCCAGATTGCACTTCACCAACGCAACTTCGCAGAAGCCGCTACGATTCGATGACTAGGTTGAATGCTCCCTTCGAGCTCCTTCAGGGTTCTTCGCAGGATATACCAGGTTTTCTCAATTCACCTTGCGACTTGAATATTCTTTCGTTAGTTTACTTGATGATTCGATAAGAACTGGCGGGTTCATCACGATTCGACGACTAGATTGATTTACGGGATCCGCGAATGTTCCTCAGGATTACTTCAGGGTCCTTCACGGTGTGCTAAGTACCTTCCTCAAGTTCCACTTCGCAATTGCACCAACAATCACAACGTTTGCTCGCGAGGTTGTCCACGAGAAAAGCGCGTCGCGACTCGCTTAGGAAATAAAAGGGACCTCCTCGAATTCGTCCCTTGCATTCGTCGACTTTGTTGTCCGTTCGAAAACGTAAGAAGTCGAAGGCCTCCGCAGCCTCCCGGCAAGCCACCTACCGTTCCGATCGTTCAGGTGGTCTCTCGTTGAACTAAAATCGAAAAGCGACAGCAAGGCGGAAGCCATCGCGGGGTTGAAAACCCAGCTACGACCCCATTCGTCGAGCGCTCGGCCAGCAGAGCCTGCCTACCCCTTGGTTGCTGGGGTAGCGGTGCCGCCTCTTCATCGATCTGATAAGGAACGCTGTTGTTCTCATTCCTAGATACCGTCCTGGAACGTTGTTGCGGCAGAATCGCGACCGTCGACCAATCGGAAGCCACGCTTTCTCAAAAGTGCTCTTCGCACGAGGGAGAAAGTGCGCGTCTCGAAAATGTCGCGAGGTGAAGTTTCGTCGGAAGAAGACGGCGAAGCCGAACGCGGTTTGAATTCATCGTCGGTCCGCGTCGCGAATGGACGTTCGCAGATCCGCAGGAGCAAGGGAACGTCGAGGGAAAAGGACGAAATCACGGCGACGTGAAGCAACGAGATATTTCTTCTCCTCAACTGTCGGAACTAAAAACGAATTAAGCGCGTCGAGCTTCGTGCGACCCCTTCGATTTTCGCATGTTCGAAGTTTTTATCGACGTCGAGTGCCGCTCGCACGCGACTGATCATCATAGGTCTCACACGTTCACACAGACAGAAACAGAATTTTCAAGTATAGTCTATAGCGGCTAGGTAAATTCGTAATTAGCTGGCGGACGCGAACGAAAGTCCGCCGTGGCACGAAGAAAATTGCTGGCAAATGCGCGAGCGAAACCACTTGCGACGTCAAGCAACAAAGGGAGCCGCGTTGACTCCACTTTATGCCCGCTCTCGATTTCTAATTGCCCTTGATGTGCGAATTCTAACGTGTAGAGCGCATAATCGCGCAAATACCGATCCGTCCATACATCACATTACATGATAATTGCAAGAAACTTTTTCGATCCTATTAGAAGAACTAAATTTCTCTTTGCCCTCCCCGGGAAATCTGCAAGATGGAATCCAAAGGACTCATCGAATTATCAGTCCTCGCAAACAGCTGGAACTGATAGAAAAAAAAAAAAAAAAAAACTCGGGACCAAAATTGAAGAGTGAAAAATGCTTGCGAATAGCTAGGACTGATAGAAAGAAAAAACCCCCGGAAGCAAAATTGAAGAGTGAAAAACGCCGCTCGCCCGGAGTGTCACTCTTGACGTTTGTTCGCTGCGTCGCGTCGCCCGCGTCTGCCGACGCTAATCGGCGCTAACGGCGAAGAGCACATCGGCCAGGAATCACGGATAAGCGGGTTAAGTCTTCGTAATAGAAAAGGAGTCGGCCGCACGTGCGAGCCACGTGCGGCCGCGACGTCGCGCGCGAAGGGTTGCTGCCGGGTTACCGCTTCGGCGACATTTGGCCCCGCCGGGCAGACCTGTAATTATGCGAGCCGTAACAGGTAACAGGATCTGATTGCCGGCGCGCTTATTACGTGCGCGGAGATAATAACATTTAATAACGCACCGCGGTTACGCCGGCAATATGCTCTCGCAGCCGAGTCACCTCGCGCGGCGTTCGCGCGGTAATTTCGCGGCGAAAGTAGTCGCGCGTTCGAGCGCGCAAAGCGGGTGTCTTCTCGACGCGTGAAAATCGCTCGCCGGCTCGGCAGCGCAGAATTCGCCCGCGCGGCCCGGCCGCATCGATCGTCGCGGAAACCCAACCGCCGAGGGCGATCGTCGGCGAGCTAATAAACAAATTAATTATAAGCTCCGCAAGAGCTCACGCGAAGACGTCGGTAGCGAGCAATTCCTTGCGGGAGGATAATGGCGCCGACTACGTCCTTGCGCGAGCGATAGGCTGTAATAATTAATTTGTACTCGACTGAGTACTCACGAGAGCCTTGACGCTGCAACCGCCGACGTTTATCGCTACCGATTTCATAGCGGAGCGGTAAAAATAACGGCTTCCTGGAGAAATACGTCGGACTTTATTTCGACGTCCATTGAAAACGCAAGACGCGTCGTTGTATAAAAGTCCTGCTAACTTTCACAAGAAATTACGAAACGGGTCGAAATTGCGGGCCGCTTGGTGGCTGCTTTTAACGCAGCTTCGACCAGCCAATAAACAAAGCCCCGTTAGAAGAACAGAAAGATGAGCGCGGCAGCGTGCGGATGTTCTCGCGCCTCGTCCATTAGGTCTTTCTAATTAGAGAAGACCTGAAATTGGACGGCGAGGGCACGTCGAATCGCACGATGAGTTATCGTGTTCCATCTGCGACGCTCTTTCCTGCGCAGAGAACCGCCGGCTTCGTTTTCCCACGCTGCGCAACGCAGGATCCCGACGCGTAGGCGCAGCGATTGTCATTTAAACGCTGGCCGGGCGACGAAGTAAATTAATAAACACGGGGAATTGTTTCTTCTTCGCGACTCTCCGCCGCGCCGCGCGCTCTCCGATGAGCGCTTCGCGGCCGCGCGCTCCCGTCTAATCCGAAATGAAAATACAGCGTCCATCCGGATGGGTCCATTGTGTCGGTGAATTTCGGAGGCCACTGATCGCGCGATGGACGGCGATAACCGAAGGGGATCGGATTTAAATCCACGAGGCCACGTGCACGCGCTTAAATGCGATCCCGCCGGCGACGGCGGCCAATCCGAGCCGCAATCTCGCCGATCGACGAGCGCCCGTTCGACGACATTTTCGCCGTGTTGCGATACGCAGGACAACCCGGTCGACCAGGTTGCGAACTGAAGCCTGCGCTCATGTAAGGTAAACGTCCCAGATTCGACCACTTTGAAAAAAAAAAATTTACTATTTATTTTGACAATAACAAATGGAAGTAATAATTATTGTAAAAAAACTCCATTATTTGACGATTAGTTGGAAAAAAGTATACCTAATTTGATACGTTTGTGTTAAAATAAAAATTAATTAAATAAATACGCACCTGTGGTTTGGCAAAATAATGGTCAATCGTTAATAAATTCATTGAAAGGTAGCATTTATATTTATATTATTTCCCGTTAGCACATACTAATTTTCTAATTGCGGTCAGACACTGGGACAAATATATCCAAACGTTGGCTCATAACCTGTTTCAACCACAGACTTCTATATAATACACTAGACTGCTAACTCCTATTCTTCTCCTTATATATAAGTGTTGCCTATGTACTTGTAATACATGTAAAACGCGTTTAAAATGTAAATGGACGTATATTTATATGAGTATTTGTTCAAAAACAAAATTTTTCTACTCTTCATATGTTATATAAATATATGTAAAATTTTCATTCTTGCACATTTATTCAGTTCGTCACAAAATCATTATCAAAAACAAGCACGATTTTTCAGTAATCTGACCTTCCGGTCCCCTTAATGAGCTTCATTATTTGTGTAAATTTTTCATTAGTAACAGATATATACATTGGTTTAAATCATTTTTCTCTACTTAAGGGAATCTTAAGTTTTCAAATAAATGCAAATATTTATATCAAAACTATTCTTCATACTATATATTATATTTTTTGTGACAAGCGACGCTTAAACGTCCGGTTACTGGGACATTTATCTTAAAAGGAGATTTCCCGAGAGAGCGATCGTGAGCGGCCGGCCCGGCTCCGCGGGTACGAAGCGATTTTTCACGGCGCGTCCCGGCCGCGGGAGGAGACCGCGCAGCGCTAACACCTGGTGCGCGGAATAAGCTGGAACGGAACATCCCGCTGGCCGTCGAAACGCGCGCCCTAAGTGTCTATTAATTTATACTCAGCGGGAGTGTGAAATCGATTTGTGTTCGTGAACGCGCCGGGCGGCGCATCCGTCCTGACGCGGACGATTCTTTGGACGACGGTCGTTAATCTTACCGTGAGCGCAAGAATTGCGTCGTACCCTTCTCACGTGCAAGTTTGGGAATTAACGCGGAGCTGCGAGCAAATTGCCGCTCAAGTGCGCACCGAGAGAGAGAGAGAGAGAGAGAGAGAGAGAGAGAGAGAGAGAGAGAGAGAGAGAGAGAGAGAGAGAGAGCGAGAGCGCTAGGCTCGTCCTGAAAACGGCGATCGACGGACTTGACGGAGTAGCCGTGTTCCTCATTGGCACAATGACGATTCGTAATAACAAATCGATCGTGCAGACACCGAAGACATACACACACACACACACGTACACACGCACGCGAGGGTTGTCCCCCTTCGGGAAAAGTGGGGTATGCGACGCATTGGAGCATGGAGTGTTTCGGGGGCTCGTGCCCTTTGCGCGGGGGTCGCGTGTGAGGACACCGCAGGGGGTAACATCCAGCCGGATACCGGAAACGGTTAGGCGGCACCGGATACAGGGAACACGTTATTAGACAGGTGGCTGGAGGCCTGTGTGGGAGGCGAGAGCCTCCCGATGATTGGCACAAGTACGATCTCGTCGAATGTGGAAGCGGAATCTGAGAGGTCGGTTGGATCTAAAGAATGCAACGTAACGCTCGACGAAAATTAACGCTATTGACGAAAAATTAATTTTAAACGCGAGTCTGAATCTCGCGCTGCACAGAGATCGGCGCCTTACCTGTAATTAGTTAAACTTCATTTTGCGCAAGGTGAGGCAATGATTACTATCACCTTGGATATCTTCGAACAGAAATTATAATTTCTGCTCTCCTCTTTTTTGCGTATTCCGGAGATGTTCAAGATGGTAACGGTTATTGACGCATCCTATATATAATTATATGTAATAATATATGTTTGTATTATATGTAATATTATTAAGCATTATATTAATAGAGAGATTCATATCTTAGTGACTACGATTTCCAGCTGCATCACAATATGATTTAATTTAGTAAATTCGAGAAACCAGAGAGCCGAAAATGTAAATAATTGTACTGTATATCACGTGAATAAAAAATACTTAAATGTGTAATATAAAAAATATCCATATACATGTATGTAAGCTAGAGATGTGCAAACTATTCGAATTCGAATCGAATAGAATCGAATCTAATGTAATTCGATTCGATTCGAATCCGAATCCGAATCCCTATGATTCGAATCCAAATAATTCGAATAGGAATCAAATACATTATCGTTTATGTGCATCAGCTACAAAACGGGCCATCTGGGCCTGTATGTTTGAACCCTTAACTTGCAATTAACTTAACTTATAATTAATGATTTAATTATAAATTACTTTAATTATTTAAATATATATTTTACTTTAAGATGATATTACAATATCAATATTCCCTTTCATATTAAAATCTTTCATCATTATTTGCATGTTTAATAGCCATGTTAAATTTTTTAATGATTCAATTCGATTTCATTCGATTCGATTTGAATTCGAGTGAAATTTCATAGATTCGATTCGATTCGAATTCGAATTAAAAAAATGAGATTCGATTCGATTCGATTCGACATAAAAATTATTGATTCGCACATCTCTAATGTAAGCATATGGTTGAAAATTGTATGATCGAGCTATCTATGCCGGCCTTTGTAGACGTGACAAGCCTAAATTTATTCATTTTTGCTATAGTCAACGCGAGATAGTATGCAAACATGTATATCGTATTTGAGTGTTCTATTCGTAACATCTACGGAGATTATTGGCGATATCTTGATTATCGTTGATCGAAGTGGAGAATGGTCACGTGAGCGACCGCTCGTTAAGCGCCATTCAAGCGCTCATATGCACATGAGATGCAATACGCGCTCATTAACAATCGTCAATGATTCTCGCGATTTACCGTTCCGGTTATCTCGATGGCGTTTTTATTTGCTTTCCCGAGAAATTACGACGTGCGTTTTATCACATCGACGATCGACAGATGCACCATCGCACGTGTACGGTGTGATAATTACGGATCCACGCTGTGCACGCCATGACAAGTGACGACTGACCCTTGTTTGGAAACATATTTATATCCCATACAGGCGACGCAACGTATATCCTTATTTCTACATCGCAATTTTGTCCCCAAATATGGTCAAGAATATATTGTTACTGATCTGTCCGTGTATGTCGAAAGATTCCGTATGTTTAGAGTTTCATAATTATTACTACATTTAAACTATTTTTATATAAATATGTAGAAATATGTAAAGCTATTTCGTTTTTTATATCATTGCATACAAGTATTTTATCGTTATGAGACACGATTCGATCATCTAGATTTCTAGTTTTCCCGAAAATACCGTTAAATCATTATTTGAAACTAAAATGTGATCTAACCTGTTATTTAATAGTAGTACGTAAAAGCAAAAGGATAGAGAAGGAAAATAAAAAGTTTGTACAATTTGTTAAATGATTGCATGTTTCAATAATCATAGAATTTTTCTACAATGGAAATATACGGATTGTGACTTCCGCAAAAATAAATGTGTAAAAAAATTTCAAACAAATTGGTTACCGTCCTTTATATAAACATCTCTAAGATGTCTTATGCACAACGTGCTATCCACGAATACAATACAATTGGACAGTATCAATAGTTGCCACTTATTTATAATCTTTGATTGAGTAAAATTAATTACAGATTTGTACTCACTTGAGGATAAAGATCTCGACCTTTTTCGTTAAATTTCGTGTTATACATTAATAATAAAAAGGATAATACCCTATATCAAATCGTACATTCGTTCTTCGTTAGGGATAGTGGCGGCTCATAGCAGAGGTTTCGGAATTAATAACAGTAACGGGTTTGAATCTTTGCTAAAAGAGGTTCATGTCATCGATGAGATACTAAAAAGAATATTTAAAAATTGCCATAAATACATCTTCAAATACTCTTTAGCCAGTAAAATTATTTATACAACATTCATATGGATCGTTTTATTAATTAAGAAATTATTAAAGATTCAAGACGATCTTAAAAAAAAGCCTGCTTCACATTAGTCGCAAGTCGCAGTCGCAATTGACCAATCACAGTCGAGTATTCTTTGATCGCAAGGAGGACAATCAGCCGTGATTGGTCAATTTGCGACTGTGCGACTAATGTAGAATGGGGGTTTAACGCAATAACATTGGCCGCGTTCAGTGGAACAAAGTGATCAGAGCGCGCTTATTGTCTGTGATTGGAGCATTCTTTTAGATTCTTCATAGACCCAGAAGTATTTACCAATCAGGAGCGAGATTCAATGGAAAATCTAGTAATGTTGTCCAACTGTTGAGTCTGCTGAATGCAGCCATTTTCTTAATATTTAAATTTTATATTCATGTTCATATGTTTATGTTTACATATTTATATTATATGTTCATGTTATCATTTTATATTCATAATTGTATGTTCATGTTTACATATTTATATTATACGTTGATATTATCATTTTATGTTCATAATTGCATGTTTATGTTTACATATTTACATTATATGTTTATATGGTATATTTTTATTACATGTTTAAATATATAACATTATTTCTATTCATATCGTTATTATTAAATGTTATTATTAATAAATTTTATTTAGGTATCATCAATGAATCCACTTCATTATTACCCAATGTATAATCATAACACAAAAAGTATAATCGTAACACAATGAGTCTATATTGTTGTGTATGCCGCAGTAATGCATATAAAAGTGACAAACAGATTATTTTCCACCGGTATGTAATTATACCCATCGTCATATGTCCATATTCATCATTTTTCCATACAAAATCGTCATTTTTCCATATGCGTGTATTTATATCAGACGTATTTTGCAAGGGGCTTTAGCCTCGCTCGCGTCGCTGAGCGAGAACGAAAGCGAGAAAGAGGGAAAGATATTCTCGCTCGCGTCGCAGAGCGAACATGAGAGCGAGAAAGAGGGAATGATATCTCTCTGTCGCTCGGCGCGCCGACGATTACCGAGCACGCGGTCCACACGGATAGACTGAGCCGGCTATGGTGCGTGCGTGGTGGGGGAAATCAGAAAAGTGTCGTGGACATGGCATCGTAGTTGATGTGCACGGTTGTGCAGAGGGCGCCTCACACTGGGCTCGGCTAAAAGTGGCCCGTGACCTCTCTCCTTCTTCTCTCTGGCCAGTGAATCATCGTCTAGGGAATAACCCAGGTAAAAAGACATCACACGATAATCGATTTTGCTAGGTAAAAATAATCGATGTAATAGTAATCGAGGTGTTATCGCCTATCGTGAAGCCCACCGTGGAGTCGACGTCGCAGCTCGTGATCGAGGGAATATTTTTGTTCCAACATTGAGAGAGAGAGAGAGAGAGAGAGAGAGAGAGAGAGAGAGAGAGAGAGAGAAATATTTTTGCTGAGCTGGGCTGTTGTTTACATCCGGAGGACTCGTTAGTCATAACCGCCCCTTCCGTCGCGTCCTTCAGTTCCTCGTCTCTCCCTGATCGCTCCCCCGATCCGTGCTCCGTCGCTTCATTCGACCACTTTGGATTTTCCGACGACGATCCAGCACTTTCCCGTCGACGGAGATCGAGTGAGGACGTGTCACGTATTCGGGGTCAACGTGAGATTGTCGTGAGCCCGCACGCAGATATGAAGGTGACAGTGACGACGCTCAGCGACGACATCTTCGTCCTGGACGTGAGCGAGGAGCTGGAGTTGGAGAATTTCAAGGCGTTCTGCGAGATCGAGAGCGGTGTGCCGGCCCATGAGATCGTAATCGCGTTCAATGGCCTGCCCCTCATGGACGACAAAAAATCGTTGCGCGATCATGGCATCCGCGACGGCGACGCGGTTATTCTTCAGCATATGCACCAAAGCGGCAGCGACATGAATCTGCAACCTTTCAACAGAGGTGAATATCATTACCTCGCTCTTATGTCTGAGTAACGACGATCTGTGTGACAGATTATGTAAATCGTATGTGCAGTCCGAGCGGATGGCACAATTGCAAACAGCCACGGCTACTTATCGCATCATGTCTCGCTAGTGATTCGCTGCTATCATTTATCTCGCTTTGGTCGATAAGAAGTATAAAGCGGCAACACGACAATCTTGACAGCGAGGCCTCGGCCTTTGGCTTCAACTTAATTATGCATACGTTAATTTCAAGGGGAATTGCTGAACAACATTAGCAAAATGCATTGTAATCTTGTCTACTCGGCTGTTGCTTTATATTGCTTGGTAGTGGCTGCTTTTTTTCATTGAGCCACCTTTCGTATAGCATGTAGTATCCTGCAAGAAATGAACGTACTAAATTCGAAGAAACGTCGCTCTAGCCATTCCATTACTGGACTTCAGTTCCATCAGAGTTCCCGGGACGTCCAATAATCGTCAACCTACAAACTCCAATAGCAACAGAGTGCAGAATCCCCGCAGTGAAGATGATCCAGCAATGATAAAGAATATGTTTCTGGCTAATCCTGATCAGCTGGCGCTGCTGAAGCAAAACAATCCTAGACTAGCCGACGCGCTCTTATCCGGGAATCTGGGTAAGCAGCGATTCTTCTCATATACAGCAGTATAACATTACGTCTCGCACCTGTGATCTAAACGCTCATGCATTATAGATAGATTTTCGACTGTACTCAGAGAGCAGATAAACGCTCGAGAAGAACGCCAGGCGCAACGGCTACGAATGATGAACGCGGATCCGTTCGACACAGAGGCGCAGCGGCTGATCGCCGAGGAGATCAGGCAGAAGAACATCGAGGCTAATATGGAGGCCGCGATGGAATACAATCCGGAGACCTTTGGCACCGTTGTCATGCTGTATATTAATTGCAAGGTCAACGGGTTCCCCGTCAAAGCGTTTATCGATTCAGGTAAATTTCCAGCGATCCAAATTCTACTGAAAACTGTAACGACAACAAAGATCATTAACAACCGCTCACAATTGAACGAAACTGTATTAAGGTTCTCAGATATTTAGTTGTTAAGAAATAATTCTGGTGGATAACTTGGTAGGAAGTAAAATTTTAGTGAGATTAGTCATGAATTTGCAAGGAATCGTTGTCCGTCGCCAATATACTCTTATTAGCCAAAATTAAACCTTGATGCACGCGCGTGAAACACACGAAATGTCAATACTGTTGAATCGTATTCTCGGGGGTTATTTTTAAATATCTTTGTTCCGCTGCATCGGAAGGACGAGTGGGCGTCTATTTTTAAATCCGCGCATCTCGGAAAATCATTCTGCATAGCGTGCAGAAAAACAGCAGTTTAATTTTAGACCGCGGAATGCATGAGCCCTGTGTGTGAGAACGAAAAAAGAAGAGCGAAAGAACTGGATTCCGCTTGCAAGTTGGATATAAATCCCGCTTTTGAGCATTACGTTGACGCAACATTAATAACATCGGGCATGAAGACAATTTCGCGAGAATCCATCAACAGGCAATGTGAAAATATCGAGAGCGTGGTCTCTCCTTTTTGCTTTGCAAGGTGCGCAAACAACGATAATGTCCGCCAGCTGTGCCGAAAGATGCCACATTATGCGACTGGTAGACACGAGGTGGGCCGGAGTCGCCAAAGGTGTCGGCATTCAACGCATAATTGGTCGTATACACATGGTACAAATACAGATCGGCAATGATCATTTAACCACGTCGTTCAGCGTTCTGGAGGAGCAGCCTATGGACATGTTGCTCGGTCTAGATATGCTCAAGAGACATCAGTGTTGTATAGACTTGAAGAAGAACGTCTTGAAAATTGGCACCACCGGCACCGAGACATCATTTCTGGCTGAAGGTGCGTCTGTGTTATTTTTTCTCTTTCTATGGATCTCTTCGTTAATTGAAGCTTGTCGATTTACGGCTCGGTTACTTCGGCAGGTGATCTACCCGAGTGCGCAAGATTAAGCGGCAATAGCGACGATGTACTAGACGACAGGGATCTCCAGCGTGCTCTGGAGGATAGTTCGAGAGACGCCAAGAAACAGAGGCAGCAAAACGGCAAGTGTGCTGTCCTCTTGATCCTTATTTCATGCACTTTGTGATCTAAAAAAAAAAAAAAGGAAGAAAAAGTAGAATCAATCATATCCACGTGTATAACTGAACCTAACCTGGCCTGGTTTAGATATTTCTCGCTGTTGTGCTTTCGTTTGTTTAGTGTAAAGATTTCGAGCTATATTTGCCAAACATAATTGTTTTCTTGGAAACTTTCCAGACGGTCAAGGGAGCAGCAACCAACCTAGCACGTCTGTATCATCCAGCAGATCAGCTGTCTTAGAGACGACGGTGTATCCTCACGATCCGTTCACGGAAGCCACAGTGAAGGAACTGGAGGCTCTGGGTTTTACGAGGGCGCAAGTGATTGCGGAGCTGCGTAGATTTAACGGGGATAAGACACAAGCCACTGCTGCGCTGTTCGCAAAATCATTAAAGTTCTGAACATTAAGAGAACGTCACGCGCTTAAGAAGAATGAAAAGAGAGATATATATATATATATATATATGTATATATATATATATATATGTAGCGAAATTGTGAATACGGGACACGCAATAAACACGGGAAGAAACCTACAAGTGTAAAAGTAAATTTTAAGTATCGTTCGGCGCCGTTTAGTGACTGTTTGATACTTTTGTGTGGAAATTTTTATAACTCAACAGTTTCACAATCAAGTGCATGCATTTCGGGCTTGATCATGTGAACTTACGTAAACGATTCGCAGTTTCGGGCTACTAAAAGAGGGAAGGGGAAGATGTTAAATATGAATGTATACACAAAGTATATTCATACTTTGTGAGTTTTCTTATCGTATACATAGGTGCAACGCTTAAGCGAATCACGTTATTTTCATACTGTATTACGTCAGGTGCGCTCTTAAGAGTAAAATAAGTTGAAGGGATGTCAAATTGTTGGTGAAATTCAATCATTTCATACAATCAGTGCACGATACAGTAAGTTTTGCGATACGCATTGAATATCCAGCATTCTAGTTCGGTCTTCACGGCCTCACACGCAAGACTCGCGGTTTGCGTATCACATACACACATACACACAGTTTGCTAAAACGAGACACAGTAGGACGTAAGATTTTTCTACGTGTCACGAAACATGTGCAAATCCTTCGCGTCACTTTGTAATATTCCTTCTAAACGGTGAATATGGACAAATGTATATACACATTTAGTATTAATAGATTCTAAATAAATCGTGCACGGTATATGGCGCAACACGTCCTTACGAGAGGACGTCGGTGTTTATGGTTTAACGGTTTGGTAGTGTTTTGAAGATTCTCGAATCTGACGTTCGACCAGCTCAAACTCAGTTCCTCATTGTTTATCGAAGAAGCCGACTGACTCTGTACATAACACGATGATGACAGACGAATAGAACTTTCCATTTCTCTTTTTTTACAAGACTTTTGTGAACAGGAAACAATTCCCACACGCGAACACATGTCAGTTTTACGGATAACATCGATTTTGTACTACCGCTATTTTTGTCCCTTTAGTGAAGTATTTAGTATGTATTCATTGTATTCTCTTAGTCAGCGATAAAATCGTTACAAACTGTACGATTTGATTTTTTTCATTAGCTATCCGTTAGACGCTTTCTAATTTAGCGTAAGCGTCGTTGAATCACGGTAATATTATACGAGCTTGCGAAATAATATATTTTGAGAGATGAAAAGAGTAGGATTTGTGTTTCTCTTCCATCCTGATGAAGCCGAGAAAACTCACTTTTGCATCACTGTTGCCGATCAGTATTTGCGCAAATGAACAGCGATTAACAGCGCATAGTGATAGCAATTGGCAACTAAAGTGCAAAAGTTTGAACTTTCGTCTACCAGTGGATTGGAATCGCATTCGGTTTCTGCGACATGCTCGCTTCATCTTCGTACACCCTGTATGAAATTTTATTTTAGGAAGGAAAATTTTAAAACAGACATTATATATATATATATGTATGCATACATGCATACATATATGTTACACGTTCGTGCATAAAACACATTTGTATGCGACAGTGAAGCAGAAATCGTGCCGCGTTATCTTATCTGTGATAAGGTAATTCTCCGTCCGCCCATTTCAGTTCCACTACTTTCCCGGCACGAGCCGACTCTTCGCAAGCCATCGCGATCTTGCTTACTGCCAGAATTTCGTTCGGCCTGACCATAGACTCGGCCTTGCCCAGCACGATGTCGATAAAGTGATCGAACTCTCTTCGGTAGCCGTTCATGTATCGGCTGGCGAACGAGTACCAGATGGGAGCGGTGATTTGCCCTTCCTGACCGTACTGCCTGCGTACCGAGTGAATCGGCTGCTCGTTGTCGACCTGCATCATACCTTTAGGCCCGAACACCTCCAGGCGCTGGTCATACCCGAAACTGCTGTTCCGAGACAGGTCGATCATGCCGAGTGTGCCTGAGGGAAAGTGCAAGGTCACGGCGACTGTGTCGAAGTCGCCGATCGCCTTGATTTCCGAGATGTTGGCGTCAGCCAAGGCTGAGACCTGCGAATCGACAGATGTGCACGTTACTTCAACTGCGCTCAACCGGAAGCTAAAGAAACGGATATCGCTCTTCCTTCTTTTCTAAATAAAAAGAAAATCTCCAAATAATTGTAACTTCTCCAAATAAGAGAGAAAATAATGATGGTAATTTCTAAACGAAGCTTCGCGGAAGCTGCACCTTGTCGGGATATTCCCCGAGGATCCAAGTGATCACGTCGATATCGTGGACCATACAGTCGTGGAAGATGCCACCGGATATCTTGAGGTACTCTACACTGGGCAGGGGAGAATCTCGCGCGACGGTCTTGATCATGTGAACATGCCCGACTTCTCCCTTGCGAACTCTGTCGCGCACCGACGAGTAGGACGGATCGAATCGCCGGTTGAACGCGCAAAACAGCGGCCTGCCGACTTTCTTGGCGCTCTCGTAGCACTTGGCGGTGTTGACGCGATTTTCCGCTATGGGTTTCTCGCAGAAGACCGCTTTTCTCGCCTCCAGAGCCTTGGTAACGATATCCTCGTGAGTGAAAGTCGGCGATGCGACGATGACCGCGTCGACGCTACACAAATTACAGAATGAGTTAGTGCAGTAACATATGGGACCGATCGTGCTGCGATAACTTTCACGTTTGGCAAATGTCTGGATGCCCAACGCTCTCGGCGATAGTAGATTTCTTATAGAAACCACTTCTCTTCTCTCTCTCTCTCTCTCTCTCTCTCTCTCTCTCTCTCTCTCTCTCTCTCTCTCTCTCTTGAGAGAGGACCGTCCTCTTCAAGCGCATCTTACACACTCGCTACGTGCGATGTATTTATAAAAAGAAATCCACCAGTATCATTAAATTCTAATTTCGAAATGTTTCATGCAGCTCGCTCACTTGAGGTCTTTGTACACTCTGTCCGATTGCTTGCTATGCAGAAAAGTCACGTCTTCCAGGTGCCAGTATCTCTCCAGTTTCGTCCAGTTGCTCTCGACATCGTCAACGATGTACAGAAGTTTGACACGCGGGCTGGACATTATTGACGTTAAATGTATCGTCCCAGCACGACCTGCGCCGAAGAGGGCCAGCTTTACAACCGGGTCGTCTCGCGACTCGGTCCTCAGAGCGAGATCTTCTAGATACCTGCGAAGACACATTTTCGTGTCGGTAAAAGTAAGAGAACATACGATAAGAAATTTTTCGCAAAATCTCCAAGAGATGCTCCTCGAGACGATCAGTCGAGTGTTTATATCCGCGACATTGTATGTATCAACGTGGCATTGCGTAGAAACAGTTGTCTTGTACGTTTCACTCACCTATTGTAAAGATAATCTTCCGGCGGCGGTGAAGGTTTCGGCTTGAGATACGGGGACGCTTCTTTGAACTTGGCTGTCGCCATTGTCGCGGCGAATCAAGTCCGTATGTCGTGCGTGTAATTTCACTGTCAAAAAACTTCCGTGAGAAGTGAGACCGCCGATTTAGCCAATAATGCCCCGCCGGTGGGCAGTCTTATATATACGAGAAGACGTAACTGAAGTGGGAGGCTGGTTAATGTGCCGCGCGTGCACTGTTTGGAAATCTACTTCTGCTCTATGTCGATAAGACGAAGATAAATCTGTCGATCTATGAGGACATGTCAATCATTTCATCGGCATACGTCGATATACATGACAAAAATAAAAAACAAGAATGAGAAAAATTCTCAATGGGTCGAGTCACGCGATTGTGTTGAGCGCGCGTGAAGCGTGGAGCTTTTCCTTTCTCTCTCTCTCTCTTTCTGATAAGAGAGCACACACATTTTCACAGCTATTATGCACTGATTATTCCTCGATTCGAGTTACGTCCAATCAAGTCCGCTGGGATAACAATAGATTCGGCTATAATTCGATCCAGCCGCCGGTCGTTCATTACGTTCATTCACGAGGCGCACTACAATCGCTTGCGAGAACTTCAGCGCATGCATTGTCCGGACGGAAAGAGAGCGACAGAGAAGATGAAGAGAAAGAAGAAAGAGAGAGAAAGAGAGAAAGAGAGAGAGATAAAAGATGGGTGGGGCGGTTATATAAAATTCCTCAAAGGGGACCTCTTAAATTGTTTCAGGCATGTATCCGTCCGTCGCCCAAGATTCGGCGCCCAAGACGCGAGAGGATGCATCGTCGTCGAGCTGAAGCCGAGCTCGTTCGCTAAATTGCTATCACCGTGACCTATAACACGCGAAACGCATCGAGCGATTCACTCGGCGGCCAATTCCGCTGATTAGCTGCTTTATCCTTTGTCACGGACTTTACGGACTTTACGGACCGCCGCGAAAATTGAATTACGATCCGCGAAGAGATCGGGAGTCTCGCGGGTCCCGTAGAGGGAAAAAAGGAGAATCACCATAGTTCATCGACGATTGCGTTGCGTTATATAAATGTGACGTAAGGTTCTCCACGCTCGGGCCGGGGGAGGTTATCGGCTAATCTTGCATGTCATATAGACATAAGTCTCGGATAAAAGGAGATTTCAAGGCGTCGTGCGTGCATCGCGCGTACAGCGCGACCGGCGAAGACCGCGTTCTCCGTTAATAGAATGAAAGGGACATCCAAGACAAAGAGAGAGAGAGAGAGAGAGAGAGAGAAAGAGAGAGATTCAACGAATTATAAAATTTATTATGAACAGCAACAACAAACAGGTAAGACAGTGGCGAACGGTGACGATCTCTCTAGCGTGCGGAGTGTATCGCAGTCTCACCGGGATCTCACGACGGCAGGATTTGGCTCAGCACTGCGCTTTATCCTGAAAATGAAAAATTCAAACACACGTGTTTTTGACAGGCGACATTGTCGACGCGCGTGAGTGTCGTCGCGTGTTCGCGTTTTGTTGGGACACCGATCGTGCCGGCCGGAGAATTCGCGAGCGACGATCACACGCCGACGGAGAAAAGTACTACAAATGGCGGTTTAGGAGGAACTGTGCTAATCGTCTTTGCTGATCGTATCTCTTTATTAAGCTAGCACACATTGGGGTCTCACAATTCATCGTTTGCCTTACGGGATGCGGCGTCCGGCTCGAAAACCACTCGGTCGCTGTAGCTCTCCACGTACGCGGCCCTTTTACTCCTGTCGCTCCCTGGATCGGCGTCTATGAGAGCTATACTGGATCTTGTTGATCTGGAGAAGCAGTAATATACATCGTATTCTTCATCGAGAGACTTTCGTACTTTGCGGTTGAAAGCTTTCCTCGCATCGGATCAGTCATAAGAATTATTCTTTCTTTTCAACTTGCATCGACGCGCCATCTTTGGTTTGCTTCTTATTTTCTTTCGCACCGCCGAGCGACGTGGAAGACGTCGCTTTCTCGGCGTGTAAAATATTAAAATAAACACGTGGATGCGAATCTCCGAAACGCTCCGCTCATATCCATGCTTTGGAACAAAAGAATCGCTTTCTCTATCGCTATTCTATCTCTTCAGCCTTCATTAGTGGAAGTTTTATAACTTGTAAACGCTTTAAAATGATATATGAGATGTTCGTTACATGCAATTTCTTACAACACGGAGAAAATCGATCGTATCTTCACTGGACTTATGAATAATTGATTGATTTGACCAGAAACATATGTCCGATAATTGCATTCGCATCGTTCCGTAAACGCGTAAAATTAATGACGCGTTAAATTGATGACGAGTCAACGTATTTACCTTCTCTTGCTCCCATTAAGATCTGCCGTCACCGTGCGATCCCTCGGCTTCGAGAAGTCGCATTCCAATGTAAAAGCAGCGTCACCCGGTGTCACCAGGTCGTCATCATGTTGCACCACCACGACGTTACTGTACTTTTCGCCGTTCTGTCACCAAAATAAAAACAAAAATATGCAAATATATGAGAGACCGACATTTACATTGCCGGACAGTAATCAAATTTAAGATATTCTAATAAAGCTACGCAGTTTATTTGTCGAGAGTGATTTCGCAGTAAACTTGGAGGAAAAGCCTTTAACGAATTTACTCGATGAAAAACGTGACTAAACGCGTTGATTCGCTGAAAAACTGCGTATATTAGAAAATACCATAATCCGTACGTATCACTTTCTAATTCCATTATTAATATCTCGATTAATGAATAAAGAAGCGGGAGAAATTGCAGAAATCAAATATAACGCGATATGTTGAAAAATGTCTCAAATCCCAGAAAAATAAATCGAAATAAATCGAGAATTTGCCAGATATGACGCGTAGCAAAAAATCAATATATATAAATCTGCTCACCCTTTCTGTGTCGCACTTATTTAAAGGGATGTTCATAGTGAAACTTCTACCGCGAACCGGGTCAAGGAAGCAGGACGGTTCTCGCGAGTGGAAACTACCCTGTGTGTAGATCACTCCTGAAAAGTCCTCGGTAGTTTGAAGCTCCACGGTCATCTTGTCGGCGCCACATCGCAACCCCACGCGATCATAGCCCTCGGTGGAGGCACCAATCCGCATATTCTCGAACAAATCCTGCTTCCAAATTTCTTCTGCAACCATACAATCGAAGCGACACAAAATTGAACAGACCATTCCTCTTCACATAACATTTATTCATCCATCATCTTTTTGCAAATTAAATTTAGGTACTAAAGCACTTGTGCGACTAAAGTAAACAGATCTGAAATAAGTTTGTAACGAGACAAATTTAAGAAAAAAGATAAAAATTTATATGTACATGTTATAAATAAGATCGATTATAAATTAAAAAAATATACCTGCTCTGTATCCTTTCAGGATAGCGTTTGCTAGAAACACGAGGAGCAGGACCGCGCTCATGATCCCGTAAAAGGCGAGTGGACGAACGGCCGTGAACTGACGATAAATCCAAGTTCGCCCCATGCCGAGTCATGTATTTATCGCCGTTAGCTGTTCAGGTGAATTCCCCCTACGGGTCCAAATCAAATACTTTCACCGTGCAATGCACGACAGAAGAGCGTTGTCTTATTTCTTTCTTCTCTTCTTTAAGTGTCGTATGGTTCATCGATCACGGCTGCGAATCATTGATCTGGAACTAAAGTCTCTCTTTCTCGGACAGTTTTTTACAAATGTGTATAAATCGATATTAATTTGTGAAGCGGCAAAACAATATTGCAGTTTGTAGAAAAACGATCTATTCACGATAGTGAAACGTAAACAAAGGAAAATAAATCAGAGGCAAGATAAGAAAATTACATTTCCCACTAAAATTTAGTGGTAGGTTGAACAACCGGGTGGAAGTGAAAAAACGAATATAAAAATCTAACATATATCAAATAATATTAAAATAAAAAATATATAATTTTTTCAGAAATGTTACTTCTTCGGGGTATATTAGATACTAATGACGGCACTGAGAACATCTTATGAATTCTAAAGCAGTGTTACCACAATGTGGCTATTTATGCACACAAGCATGACAATTAATTTATTCAATTTTTTTATTTATACATTCCCATTCCACGCAAATGCAGTACTTTTGATTTCTCGTTTAATTAATAATTTAATAGTAACATATATTATTTTTGCTTCGACCGATTAATTAATAAATCAAAGTTGCCGGTCGTTAAATCATTTCAGAGTTTAATTATTTCTTATGTTAGAGTGTAATTATTTAATAACTTGACACATTTAATCTATATATAACGGATTTCTAAAGTTTTCTCGAACTTTTAGGAAGCAATCGGAGAAACATTTTCATCGTCAAAGTTGGCTAGATTGCTATACCGTGGCTCTGTCTAGTTGAAACGAGTTCCACGACGGCACTTATCTGAGACTATCGAAGTGATCAACATGTCTGTTACGCGATTCTCGAAAATTCTTTTCTCCCGCGTATCACAAGCGGCTCGATTTCCGCAACAATTCGCTGCGCCTACAATTAGATATTACTCTTGTAAGTACAACAAACATCAATATTTCTTTTCAAGCAACGATCGCATCATTTTTATAAAGAAACAAGCATATTATGATACACCCGGTATAATCACGTATCTGTGCCGACTGTTGCTAAGTCAAAACTTGTTTCCGATGTCGTAAATTTGTTCTTTTTCTTCTTTACATGCATATTGACACAATATTGACACAAGCAGTTTCCTACAAACTAATAGGATTAAATATATACGAATAAATCAATTTGCTATATGACTTTAGTTTTAATTAGAGAGCTATTTAAATATTGGCCATATGCACAGCAATAAAAATTTGCATGTTACGTTGCGAAACATCACGTGTTCTCAAACCTTCATCAAACGGTTTCAATTGTCAAAAATACGCATATAACAATATATAAATGATATTTCTCTTTTTAATAATTCCGCTAAAATTTAATTCGCAGGTCAAACGAATAATTGGGAGTACCTCAAGGTCGAGACTGCAGGTGAAAAGAACAATGTGGGTCTCATCACTTTGAACAGACCCAAAGTCCTAAATGCTATATGCAAGGGATTAATGGTCGAGTTGTATCACGCCATGGAACATTTCGATAAAAATCCTGCTGTCGGTGCCATCGTTATCACTGGGAGCGAAAAAGCATTCGCTGCCGGTAGGATTACAGTACTAAAATTTATCCCACGTAGATATTTGTCACAAAATTCGTGATAAAATTAAAAAAAATGATTTCGCCAATTGTTGATGTATCGCCACATTATTTTCACAACAATGATTATTAGGCGCGGACATCAAGGAAATGAAGGACAATACATTTTCAAATAACGAGAAGGTCAGCTTCTTGCATGACTGGGAAAATGTTTCCAAAATAAAGAAACCTATCATCGCCGCTGTAAACGGTTACGCTGTACGTAACGTTGCTTCTTTCGAGAAAGCTTTGTCGTTAGAAGAACGCTATAATTCATACGACGATTTTTTCTTTCACCTCCTTGCTAATTGCACAGTTGGGTGGAGGCTGCGAATTGGCGATGATGTGCGACATCATCTACGCCGGCGACAAGGCAAAATTCGGTCAACCGGAGATCATCATCGGTACGATTCCCGGAGGAGGTGGTACTCAGAGATTGCCCAGGTACATCGGTAAAAGTAAAGCAATGGAGATTGTGCTCACCGGTAACCAAATCACCGCCGAGGAAGCCGAAAAGTGCGGTGAGTTTCTTCCGCAGTTTCTCGTTATTGTCGAATTTGCTCAGAAATTGAGCTTCTCGCAAGTACGTAGTTTGGAAAAGCCTGTGACCATTTAGCTCAATGTTCATTCAATTAGCAATTAACCTATGCATATCTATAGGTTTGGTCAGTAAGGTCTTTCCGGCTGACAAACTCATTGGAGAGGCAGTAAAACTAGGCGAAAGAATCTCCTCCCATTCGCAAATAATCGTTGGCTTCGCCAAGAGAGCGGTTAATACCGGTAATTGAATGTTATCAAAATATTAATTGATGTTATTGCCAAATTTGCGCATGCATTCTCATCCACTTATTCTTAATTTCAGCGTATGAAACTAGTTTACAACAGGGCATTGTATACGAGAAACAATTATTCCACTGTACATTCGCCACGGTAAGTTTCAATTTAGACTGACGAGTCAAGTGGAGGGCTAGAAGAAACAAATTTATACTTAACAATAAACGAAACTTTCAGGCGGACCAGAAGGAGGGAATGGACGCTTTCATGGAGAAACGTTCGCCGAAATTCACGAACGAGTAAACGCGCATTTACCCGCAAATAAAATAAAATAGCGCTTTGTAAGCGCAAACATGAACGATTCAACGCTCTGAAAGTATCCGAAAGGAATATTTTTATATCACGTATTTACGAGATAATACATATAATAGATATACTATTTTGTTATATTTGTTACGAAACTTCTTTAAATAAACTGTTTTTGCAAGGAACGATGACTGTGAATGCGACGAATGCGGAGAACAAAACAAGAGTGAAGTTCGAATGAGACTTTTATTTGAGTATATTGCTGTTCTTACATGAGGTGGATCTCGAGTATGATACACATTTAAAGCTAATATAACATTGCAGTTAATATTAAAAGTAACGATAATAATAATCGCTATTATGATTAATATTATTATTATTATCATATAGAGTAGAGAGGGAAAGTACACAGCGGTTAGATGAAAACGTGTGGTGGATCGCCATCGACGTTATGAACGATATTTATGGTAATAGCGAGATATATCTCGTAAAACGATAGGAACAACAGGATTTCGGTAAAAACACCAATTATAGCTTATACAATGCAGCGAATAGCGAGAAAATGCGCGTCGTACTTGTATATATACGACATGAATTCAATGGGTATCCTATGCGTACGTGTGTATGTATAAGTGTGTATACGTGTACGTTGTGTTTGTTTCTCGAGTGACCTTAAGTACCTGTAAATTTCCAAACGGTAAAAACAGCTAAAAAATATTTCACTTTCGAGTTCGTTAGAAAAGAAGCGGTATATCAAATCCGTCGCGTCTGATGATGGTAAAAAAATCAACCGGATCTCTCTCGGTTCTATCTCTTGTTTCCTTTTCTTTTCTCTTTTCATGTACGTCTTAGCGTTGTTGACTAGCTAATACTATGTGACCGGATACGCGCGTACGTGCGCGCATCCCTTACGCTTATTACAGATCACTCATAATAATAACTGCAGCCGCACGTTCCTTCTTATGTTAAACACGTTAAAGAGAAATTAAACTAACTAATCTTAAACTATATACTATGCACGGCGTTCGACGCTGCCTTCGTTTCTTTTACTCCCTTCTTTTGTCCGTTTGCTTAAAATCTTACTTCCCTTTAAGTACAAATGTCAGAAAGCGGGTGTGATGCTACACATCGGTCGTTACGTCTCGTGTCGGAGAGTTTTAAGAAGTTCCCCCTTTTTTTGATACGTCGAGACAGATTATCCCGACGACTTCGAAACAAGTGCGCGTCTAAACTTAACCGATCGTCTCGTCCTAATCGCACTTTTTCTACGCTATATGTTTCCTTGTTTGAGAAACTTATTTTACGATTATAAGGAAGATTACCTTATTCGCATTATTCGTTATTGTTCGTTTTCCGAGCTGCTCAATAGTCGAGTCGTCTCGCGATATGTCATAAAATAGCTCGCGATAAAAACGCTGGTCCGTCCGAATGATTGTATACTTTTGAGATCGCATCGTATATAAAATCTTACGTGCTTAAATCCGAAATTTGTACATCTGGTCTCGCCGCGACGGCGGCGGACTTTTACGGTTTCTCCGTTGGTCCTCGATCGTCATCGTCGTCATTGTCGTTATCGTCGTCGTCGTCGTCGTCATCGTCATCAGATTATTCATGCGAGAGACAGAGAGAGAGAGAGAGAGAGAGAGAGAGAGAGAATATTTGTTCTTCGGGAACCTCTTAAAATTCCACGCGGAAATCTTCTCATTAGTGAGGAGAACAAGGGCGGGGGCAGGGGCTGGGAGGAGACGGAGATGAATTGGTTTTTATGTATATCACAGTTGCAAGCTCTGCTTCGTTAACTACGTTGGTAAAAATTATTAAAAGAGACGGAGAATTAAGTGTTCGGTACTCTCTTCGCGCTCTGGCTCCTTCTCGGCGATTTATCGGAAACGCGTACGGCGCGTGCCGACGCGTTTACCGCTTATTGCGACTCTTCATGGTAAAGCGTCTCCAGAAATTGCCGCTCTTCTTCGTGGGCGTCGCGGTCGGCGCCTCGTACGCGTAGCTGGACTCATCGTCCGTGTCTTGGGCGCTGGGCGCCTCTCTGGTCGGCGACCCGCCATGTCCCGAATCTCTGTCACCGTCCGTCCCGCTCTTCTCCAGACCTGAAACACGGGTGGACGTGGGGGCTCTTTCAAGGTCGCGATATCGAAAGGAAATTACACACGTCATCGGCGTCGCGTACGATCCGACGATCTTGCGATGCAATAACTCGACACGGAAATAAGAAGGACAATTTCTCACCGCCGCCGCGCAGCATGTCGAGGAAGGTACTCTCGGCGTTGCCACGCGTGCGTCCCTGCTTCTGGGACGGCGTGCCGAAGCTCAGGCTCTGGATATTGATCTCCGCCTTGAGCTGCTCCGGCGGGATGTCGTCCACGCGAAACTCGTTCGGGTCCTCGACGAAAGCCTGCTGCAGATCGCGCATGATCTTTTTGCGTATGGTCTTCTTCATCGACAAGTGCCGCTCCAGGTGCTTCACGTCGCTCTCCGTCAGGGTCTTGCTGTTGTCACGGCGGCGCGACTTCTTCTTCTTGCTGTTCTTCGGGCTCTCCTCTTCGCCCGACGTGGAGCCCATCGACACGGCGCTGTCGTGCCCGGGTGCCTTCTCCTCCGCTTGGCCGCGCGTGTTGTCCCACTTGCTGCCGAATCCGAAGATGTCCCTCAAATGGGGGATGTTCCGGTCCACGGTCTGTTGTCTCGCCATGGCGCTAGCGCTGTGGACTGATCACTCTAGGGGTTTCCTTCCTCGAGAATCGGTCGCTCTGAAACGGAAAGCGCGGTTAGCGAATCCAAGTCGGGAGATTGATCGCGCAATCGAGTGAGCTTGGAAAAATGGGGACAACTATAAAGTCCCAGCGAGGACTCTGTAATTAACTCATTTGCATCAGAAACAGACACGTCGCCCGTTATATCCGCTCATTCGGTCGCTGTCACGAGTTTCGCAAATCATGATTTCTCGCACGATGATGGATCGCAGGCGATAACGATCGCCACTTTTATCCGTTTCTTTGTTTTGTCGCACTTGAAGTCGATTTAAAAAAGGAAAGCGAGGGACTAATGACGGGCATGTTTTTTTTTTCAATTCTCCTGATGATGCAAACGATCCAATGCGAACAATCGACAGTCGCCATGTCAGCAACCCGTGCGAATTCCTCAATTTTGCCGCTCAAAGCTGCAGCTGTTTGCGCAAACGCTGACGCGCGTACACGTCGGCGCATACTTTAAATATTGTTTCGCAACATGCACGTGTACAAGACGGCAGCGGCGGCGGTGGCGGCGATTTATCTCCGGACCGGCGAACGGCCGTTCTCCGGCCGTTTTCCGTCACAGCCGCGGCACCGGCGGATCAGCGCGCCGACTCTTTTCCGGTTCGACGAGGAACTCGTTTACTCGCGGGGAAAAAAGCCGCCGCCGTCCGGATCCACGTATCCACGCCGCGGCGGGATCGAATGTATTGTGAGCCAGTCAGTCGCGACCTGCACGACCCACCGCGCCGTAAATGGAGCCCAGTTTTTCGAATAATCGAACTCGGCTCTCCCGACACGGAGAGCACTGGCCGGCCACAGCCGGTATATATCGGCGCGCCACGAAATCAGATAAAAAGCAGGTGTCTCTCGGCTACCTCGGCCACTCGAGAGGGCCAGAGGAGTGCACCTCCTGGCTTGGTGACGGAATCTACAGATCGACCAGATTCAACAGCTCTCTCCTTTCCTTCTTTCGCAGGTATTACAGGTATTGGCCAGTTGTGGAAAATCAACCTAGAACACCCTAATCTCGGATCTCCCAGAGTTTTCCAATCAGCTCGATCGAGCCGCCGATGAATCACGAGTGGTGATCCTTGCCGTACGGCGCCCGGGGGAGACTCCAGGACGCCGTAAGTTAGATCGGCAATGTCAGTGCCGTAATTTCCAATGTTGCACGTGAGTCATTTAGCTGTTCATGGTCCTCGCACCGTATCTCGCGGAGTCACGTGCGTGGACGTGCCGTACATGTCGAGAGCAAGCTCGGCTATTTGAGCATTTATATAATGCTTCCCCAATCACGTTCCTGATCTCCTTCGTCCGAGGATAACGCGCCACCGCGCGACGGAGCGGTTCTCCCCACCTCGCTAGCGCAGCGAAGGAGCACAATCAAAACCTCTTCAACGGCCCGCTTATTTTCCAAGATTCTCCAAATTGATCGCTCTCGCGTATCGCGACCGCAATCGCGGTGGTTAGGCAACGAGGAAACGACGGAGCGTCTCTCTCTCTCTCTCTCTCTCTTTCTCTTTCTCTCTCTCTCTCTCTCCTGTCTCTCCAGGATAGTAACCAGTCCCTCGCCACGTCTCGTCCCTATCTGCCTGGCAACCAGAACCGACTCGCGCCGGTCTCGCGCTACGAAACGATACATGCAGCGAGATATACCAGTCGCCACGCCATGAACCAGAGACCTTTCACGTTGCCTTCTCGCCGTCGTGGTTATCTAACGACGAGCGTTCGGTCAGCTGCTCCGCCGGACCAGCCGCGAGTCCTATCCCTTCGTCCCGCCGAGTGCAGACGCGCATAATTATCATCGCACCGATATTTTATCACGAGCCGAGATAATGTAGTTCGGAGTAATTCGAAGGGACGTGCGGAATGCACACTGTGCAATGTAACGATCGGGATGCACAATAGAGCGGCCGGCCACACTAAGAGCACGTAATACACAGCCGTAATGCCCCCATCGCGACACGACAGTACCGTAAACCGTCAGAGCCTTCACGCATGGCAGAGCGAAGCCAGCCAGGCGGCCGGCTGGACAGGACAGGAGGTGGAGAACGGGCACACGCGCGCGCGTGTATCGATTCGCGTGCTCTCCGCCGCGAGCGAGGAGGAGGAGATCGAACGCGACACGACACGGCACAGCCGTACGCGTACATTAATATTTGCCGCGCATCGCACATCGCGCCGAAGACACGGCGACGACACGGCCGGCGCGGCGCGGCGGTTCCGCAAAGTCAAAACCGGATTCGCCGCCGATCGACTCAACTAGCCGAACGGCCGCCGCGGCGGCCTGAAGAACAAGTCGCGGGAGAATTCGAGGGCTCGCGGAGAGCGCATCGCGCCCCGCGCTGAGAGAGAGAGAGAGAGAGAGAGAGAGAGAGAGAGAGAGAGAGAGAGAGAGAGAGAGAGAGACAGAGAGGCGGAAAAAAAGAGGGAAAAAAAGAAAAAAACGGCAAGAGAAAAGAAAGACAAAATGATGGTTGTCTGCGGAGAGATAATTCGTCTCGAGAGCGAACAGCCTCTGACCTTTCGGCTCCTTCCGATCTCGATCCCGATCCGCGCGCCTCGAACTCGACTGGCCGCGGCTGGCTGGCTGTATCGCAGTAATAGCGAGCCCGAGTAATATTTCCGTTATCGCGCGTACAAGAGAGCCCGAGGTTAAGCCTTTCACGAGGGAATGAAATCCGCGCGCGAGCGGCGGCTTGTTACGCTCATAACTCGGTCCAGCCGGCCTGTGTCGAGCTTTATAGGACTTTGTTCATTCTCTCGCGTTCGCGCTCTCGCGCTGCTGTGTTTTATCAGGTGCGCCGCGATTATACACGGGCGTTAGGCCGCGACGTGGAGCATCGATCGCGCGAGACATCGTGGCGTCTTTAGGGGGAAGAAGCGCGACAGACAGGAACGGCCGACGTGTGTGCGCGAGAACGATCGTCGGCACGAATTATTAATCTCACATTCGAGCGGCTCTCTTCCGATCGATCTCGCTCGGCGCGCGTTTCAAGCGGCCGCGCGGCCTAACGGGAAGCTTTTAACAGCCTTTAACGCTCCAACGGGTTACCTCACTCGGCTAATATCGCGTAACTTTCGGTGAAACGGATCGCGTTCAATGGCCGTACCCGCCCCGTTATAAAGACGACACCTCGCGAGAAGACGCGAACGCTCGAACCTCGTCCGAAACGTTATTCGCGCGCGCGTCATTAGCCTCGCTCCAATCTCGCGAGGGGCCGGCCAACGTCGCGGGACATTTACCGCCGAGACTTCGGACGAGGCATCGACCGGGTTATCCTGCGAGACCCTCTCGAGCAGAACAGAAAATCATAACATCAAAATGACGAGAAAATGACCGAATCAGGGGAGGGAAAAATGAGTTTGTCTCGTCATTTTGACGTCATTTTCATGTCATCATGATTTTCTGTTCTCCTTGGGCTGCTGAACGCGCGCGTATGAAATCGGCGAGAACTGCGATAGACAGCCGGCCGACTCCTCGAATCGTCATGGATTCGCGCGACGAATGTCGTCGTCTCGAATGCATTACGAACGGCCGTCCGGACTGTGCGGGCGAGAAATTAACGGCCGGAATGCGGGATAACTGTTTTGCACCGGGTGTTGCGTTCCCTTTGCCTATCCGACTGCCGGCATAACGCTTCGGAGTCATGAGAGCGAGCAACGTGGATCTCTTCGTCCCTGATGAACGACGTCTGACGGAGTCACCAGGAGGGAAGGGGAACTGTTTGAAGCCATTGTCAGCGACGGGCGGCGTTTCGAGAAGAAACGCGACCCACATACTTGCATATCCACGTAACTGTGTACATCCGCGCGGCATAAGATGATGAGCTAGGCGAAAAGTGTACGGATTATCGAGCGGCGAGCGACGTTCTTCAGGAACGATCGATTGTCTCGTAAATAGCACAAGTGCGCATCTTGCGCGCTCAAGGAAAGTGAATGGTTTCTCACGTGCGCGCGCGCGAGTGCGAGCGAGATTGTTCGATTCGAGTGAATTCAGCGGTATCCTTGATGAAACCTCATTATATTCCAAACCTCATTGTACAGCTACGCTTTTTCGCACACACCTCCTTGGTAACGTTCGATCCTGGGCCAGGTAGTCGTCCGACTGTTCGTTTTAATCCGAGAGGAGCATCACATGCGCGCCGTTCCGCGCCGCACTGTTCCGCTCATTTTCGCGCGCGCGCGCGCGCGTGATAGAAAGAAACACTCGCGTGTCGATCGAGAAACCAGGCGGGAACGGCGTTGTTGCCTCCGCCGCTTCGGCGCTCGAAGCTCGACTACGAGACCTGCGTACTCCGGGGACGGGCGAGACACGACGAGACACGTGAGACACTCGCTGCGACGAGCGCGGCGCGACTGAGCGCGCCGCAACCGCGTCGATTCCGTGACTTTCACTTCGATAATCGAGGGGTCCCTTCTTCTTCTTCTTCTTCTTCTTCTTCTTCTTCTTCTTCTTCTTCTTCCTGGCGCGTTTATCCGCGATGCACCCACGCTCTCGCGTCCCGATCGCGCGCGACATAATACTTGCGCGCGCGCGCGAGCGGGATATACGATACGCCGCGATCTTCGCACCGAGCTTCCTCGTGGAGGATCTTGTCGATCCTTCGCGATCTCGTGCACGCATACGAAGCAACCGGAGAGAAATGCCGGTGTACGTGAACGGGCAGTTTCGCTCGTCCGGCTGAAAACAAAGAAGAGTCCACGCGCGCTTGTAGGCGTGGCGGGCTTTCATCGGCCGACAAGATCCTTCGAAGTAGGATTTCTTCCGAAAGAGCGCATCGGCGAACGCGTGCCGATCGACGCGGCGGCGAACCGCGCGCGAAACGATCGAAGATAGTCGTGCAATTAACAGCTTATCAGCCGCGAATCGTTCGGCATGGCTGACGGGATCGCGACGCTAATCACGTTCCCTCCGTCGCGTTTCTGCTCCGGCAAGTTCATTGGGATTCTCACACGCCGTGTGTGTCTTCCCCATTGTGCTGTGCGCGATTTCTTTCTCACCGCCTATTTCT